CCCCGCCCCCGCCCCCGGCCCCGCCCCTCCACTTGCGCCGCAGCCGATGGCATCCTGTCGATCCTGTCCTTCCTGTCAACCGGCCCGAACGACACCCCGGCCATGCTGAAGGAAACCACGGCCGCAAACTTCGCCGCCCACCCGTCGCTTGTGCGCATCCTGGCCGACCTGATCGTCAGCTCGATGATCTTCGACTCGGTGAAGGTACGCTCGTCGCACTGGCCGCACTGGCCTCCAGGCAGTCATGGATGCCACCGTTCCTCGGTGATGATGCCGGCAGGGCCTGCTGCTCGCTCTGTCGCCCCGTCGCTCTGCTCCGATGCTCGTCCTGACACCGTGGCTTCGCTTTGCCGGCTCTCCTCCTGTGCCCCGCCCGGGCCGCAGTTCGACACGCCCCAGCTCCTGAACGATATGCCGCTCTTCCGCCGGACTCGTGTCAGCCGCCAGAAGAACCCCAACGCCACGCCAATCGACGACCGTATCCCCGGCGACGACCAGATTGGCCTGGTGTCGCTCTTCCTCGGCTCGCCGGTGCCCTGCCTGCACCTGATCCAGCGGACCCTGGTGGAGGGTGCCGTACGTCCGGGCATTTGTCCTCGCCCCTTGGCCCCCTCGCCCCTTGGCCCCCTCGCCCTTTTCCTGCTCTGCCCCCGGGCCGGCCTTCCCGGGGCCCCCTTCCTCGCTCACCCCCTCGTCCTCGGCCCCCCCCCCCCCACTTCCTCCACGCGCAGGGTGCCAATGTGCACGGCCTGCTGACGGCCCTCTCGTTACTGGCGGTCATCTGCCAGCTGTACCTCATGGAGGAGGACCGGCCGCGGTCCGTGGATTCCGATGACCCGAATGCCACCTGGCTGCCGGTGGACCACTCGGAGCTGGGCAAGCTGATCGGACACTCGGCCGCGCCGGACCACTATGCCCTGCGGCTGCTGGTCGGCTCGGTGCTCATCTATGACCATGTGGCTGGCGAGAGCGCCGCTCTGGCCGGCGGCGCCTTCGACAACAGCTCCGGAGTATCGGTGCGCCCGGCCTCGCTCGCCGTCTTCTCGCGTGATCCCCCTCCGCCCCCCCCCCTC